CCGCCCGTGGCACCGCCGCCACCACCACAGCATCCACCCGAAGGGACACCCCAGTCCCCAAAACAGCCGCCACCCCAACCCAGAGCTGGCTGCCCACAGCTGGCACGCCAGCACCAGGTAAGTCCCGTGTGGGGCAGTATGCCGGGACGGCAGTGCCCTGCAGCACTAGCTCATGCCCACGCTGTTGCCCCATGCAGCCTGCGGTGGGACCCTGCGGGGCCCTGAGGGCTCCTTCAGCTCTCCCAACTACCCCAGCCCCTACCCGCCCAATGCTCTCTGCATCTGGCGCATTGAGGTGGGCCCCGGACTCGCCATTCAGCTGAAGATGGAAACGTTCAGTGTGGAGGGCACTGCCTCCTGCCTCTTCGACCGGGTGGAGCTCTATGAGGAGCAGGGGGCTGGCAGCACGGATCCTGCCCCAGTTCCGGGGGGCCCGACCAGGTAGGGCCCCTCACACCCGGGGACCGTGCCAGTGCAGTGGGGAGGGTGCAGCATCTCTGGGAGGGAGCAGTGTCGCCCCTTGTTGTGCCCCCAGGTTTTGCGGCAATGTGGCCCCCCCGACCTTCAACTCTAACTCCAACCTTCTGCGTGTCACCTTCGTCTCCGACAGCAGCGTGGGTGCCCCAGGCTTCAGTGCCCGCTACCACGCTGTGGCCCACAGTGAGAGTGAGTACCCCTGTCCCAGGGCACTGCCAGGAGTCCTCGCTGTGGGCAGGCAGTGGGTAGCACCGGGGGGTCTCCCATGACGCCTGGGGCACTGGGCAGGGGAGGGTGCCCAGTGGGATGCCATCAACAGCCTGACCATCTCTGCCTGCGCTGCAGAGAGCTGTGCCTGGGACGAGCACTTGTGCGACCAGGGGCTCTGCCTCCACCTGGGCTTCATCTGCGACGGCTTCCACGACTGCTTGGACAAGAGCGACGAGGCCAACTGCAGCCTGAAACACAAAGGTGGGCCAGACCCCACCTGCAGCCCACAGCCCCCGCAGCACCCAGCCAGAGGGCACAGCGATGGGCAGTGGGGAGACAGGGTGAAGGGAGAGGGGCAGGGGGTAAAGCTGCATGTGTGTCTGTCCCTCCAGACTGTGGGGGGCTGCTGACCACCTTGGAGGGGCACTTCCCCCCCCCGAGCCATCCCCAGCCATACCCACACCAGCAGGTGAGAGAAGGGATGCCAGCAGGATGGAGGCGGGAGGAGGGTTGAGGGTGAGAGCAGGCAGGGAGGAAGGCAGCCTCCCACGGGGGAGAGCTGGGGATGCCCCTGCCCGGCCTCACGGGTGTCGCTGGCTGCCTCTGCCCTGCAGCTGTGCCTCTGGCAGATCTCAGTGCCCGTGGGCCACGTCATCGACCTGCACTTCCACAACTTCAGCCTGGAGTCACATGAAGACTGCAGCTTTGACTTCGTGGAGGTGCACGACAGCACAGGCACAGGGGCTGCCAGCCTCATGGGCAGGTATAGGCACACCCCTGACACCTCCGGCCCTACTGCATCAGCCTGGGTGCACTGTGGCTCAGCTTGGGAAACTGAGGCACGGGGCAAGCTGGTGAGGAGGACCCACCAGAGGACAGGCTTTGGGGAGGTGCTGGTCAGCTCCGCTGCCCACCCCAACCCCATCCCTCACCCCACAACCCTGGCAGGTTCTGCGGCCACCAGCTGCCACCCACCCTGACCTCCTCACGCCATGTCATGACCATTCTATTCGTGGCAGACGAGGGAGTAGCAGACGATGGGTTCTTCGCCACCTACCAAGCCCGCAATGCCACAGAGAGTAGGTAGCCAAGCAGGGGTGCAGGCTGCCCAGAGGGGCTGTGCAGTCATCATCCTTGGGGGTTTTCAAGGCTAGACTGGATAAAGCCCTGGAAAAAACTGCTCTCACCCCACAGATGACCCTGCTTGGAGCAGGAGGTCGGGCTACAAAACCCTGGGGTCTCTTCTCACCTGGATTACCCTATAACCCTATTGATCCTAGCCATGGGGATGTGGGCTGGAAGGGCTCACCTGCACACAGGCACCATCCATCACCTGAGGGCTGCCCCCAGAAGCCCAGGGAATCTGGGATCCCCTTGAGCTGGGCCAGTGATTGTCACATATCGGCAGCGGCTGCTAGGTGGCAGTGCTCTGCAGCCTCTCACCTGGATGTCCCCTGGCCAGTGACCAAGAAGAGTGAAGACAAGGGTGGTCAGCATGGGATCAGGTTAACTCCCAGCAGGGAGGCCAGCTGCCATTGGCACGACCCTGGCCACGGCCAGCTGACTCTCTGCCTATGCCCATGCCCAAGCCCATGCGCTGCTGTGCTGGCCCCTCTCATCCCACAGAGACCTGCAGCCCCACGGAGTTCTCCTGCGGAAATGGTGAGTGCCGGGCACTGGAGTCCGTGTGTGATGGCTGGCATGACTGCCCCGATGGCACTGATGAGCTGAACTGCACCGGGGTCTCCTACCCGGCCTTTGGTGAGTGCCACCCCCGGGTGCTCCACTCAGCACTCAGCCCCTCCAAACCCACCTGACCCAGCAGACACCCTGGCAGCTGCCTCACAGCTAACATCTGCCAGAGGCATACCTGGTGGGCACCACTGCTGCTATAAGAAGTAAAGCACCTCACCCTGTGGCAGGATCTGTCTGCGAGCCCGTGGACGTGGAGATGTGCCTGGGGCTGGGCTACAACGCCACCTCCTTCCCCAACATCTGGCTGGCCATCCCGGACCAGGAGGGAGCCGCCGAGGTGCTGCAGGACTACCAAGTGAGCTGCCTGGGGGCTGCTTGTGGGTCTGCCCGCACCGCACCACATATGCCACGCTCACTGCTGCTCTCCCACAGACACTGATGGAGCTCGCCTGCTACCAGCACCTCCGCCTCCTCATCTGCAGCCTCTTCGTGCCCAAGTGCACCCTGGACGGGGGCGTCCTGCAGCCCTGCCGAGCCGTGTGCCTGGCTGCCGAGCTGCGGTGCCAGCAGTCCCTCGGCTTCCTCGGAATCCTGTGGCCCATCAACTGCAACATCCTGCCCGACTCCAGTGACCCCGTAGAATGCTTCCAGCCCTGACCCAACAAGAGAAGAGGAGCAGGGGCTGAAGCAGCCTGCACAGAGCTGCTCCCCCACCCCAAATGTCCCTCCCATCCTCTTTCTGTTGCAAATACCCACCTGCTGGGGTGGCTCCCATCAGCAGCACCCCATTGCCTGGCTCCTCACCTGCCATGGGCTCAGCCCCTCTGCTCAGCGCTCAGCTCAGTGCCTGGATGCCATGGGCTTGCCCACATGACCAAGTCCTTAGAGAGCAGGTGCCCCTTTCCAGCCTTGCTACAGGGAAAGGCTTGTGCTGGAGGGCCTGCACCCACAGGTTGGAGCTGTGCTGGGGACGTCACTCAACGTCCCCCCTGCCAAGCAGCAGGACAGTGGCAACAGGGTTGGGCACTGCCTCACCATCCTCAGACAACACCAGGCGTGTTGGCCAGAGCTGTGCATGGTTCCCAGCCCGCTTTTCTCTTTCAGCTCCTCCAGGCTGTGTGCAGCCTCTTTCTTGCAGCCCCCAGGCAGCTGCTAGCCTAGCAGGGGAAGGGTTAACGCTCCCCAAACAGAGCAAGGCTGGGCAGAGCTGAGCCAGACTGCAGGCAGAGAAGTCTTGGGCTGCCCATGTCCCGCAGGCCCAAAGCCAGCAGAATAAATAACATGAGCAGCTGACGAACCTGATGGAGCAGGCAGTTTATTTGGGGAGGTTCTATGTGGGGGTCCTGCCAGATCCTAGGGGAAACTGAGGCATGGACCAAGGGAGGGAAGCCAAGGCTGGGGTGGGCGGTCTGAGCAGGAACGGAGGGGCACAAGGGAGACTGCCCGGCTGCAGGGAGGAATGGGCTGCTGGCTGTGCCCTCGATGTGCTGTGGGGTTTGCAGGGCCCGAGGGAGATGGATGAGTCTTGGAGGGGGTCAGGCTGGCAGCCCCATGGTGCAGGGAGGGGATCCTGCCCCAGCAAGGGCTGTGGCTCTGCCGGCTGAGCTGGCCATGCTGGCTTTAGGCCACCCTGATGGCCACACGCCTGGCAATGCCCCACAGCCACAAACCAGCTCCCAGCCAGCCAAAAACAACAGTCCCTTCACACCCTGGGAGACAGGAACCAGGCGGCTCCCTGCCAGCACCCAGCCTGGCCCTGGGTATCCGGGCAGGAAGGCTCAGCCGGCGATGTCACCCGCACTGCTGCGGGTACTGGCACAAGGAGGAGAAAGTCAGCAGTGCCAGCATGCTTCCCACTGCCCTCACCCACCCTGAGTGCCTGGGAAAGTCCCCTGTCTGGCTGGGGTTGCTGGAAGCAGGACCCGCTCGGGTCAGCACCACTGTGCCTTTGCAGCCGGCACGGCATCGCTGTGCCTGCACAGCTGCCCCTGCTCAGGGGGCTTGAGCCCACTTGGCTCCTTCGCTCCCTGCATGTCCCAGCCACTGCAAGCTGGCTGCAGCCCACGGGGACTCCCTCCAGCCACAGGACCGCCCCACTGCTCGGCCTCTGATGGTGTCCCTTGGATGCACTCCGTGCTGGAACGAGTTAAAGGCAAGCTGGGAGTGCCTTCGAAAGCCCGGCACGGTCCCAGCTTTGCCGCGTGCCCCGCACTCCCCAGGGCTAGCTCTGCTTCTTGGCATGGGCACAGCTCTGCTCTGCCTGCGCTTCCACCTGCCTGCTGCCGTCCCTGCCCGCTCTGCCCCACACGCTGCCCCTGGGCCCTGCGCCGGCACTCCGGGCTGGCTCCCACAGCTCCCCGGGGGTGCTCCCAGGGCTGGCACTGCCAGGCTGTGAGCTCTGCCATCCTCCTTGCCTCGGCCCTGCTGCCTGGGACAGCCCCGAGGCTGCCCG